CCTCTTGAACTAGGGAGCCCAGAACTGGAGGCAGGATGCCAGGTGTGGCCTCCCCAGTGCAGAGCAGAGGGGGAGAATGACCTCCCTCCACCTCCTGGCCACGCTCTTCCCTACACAGCCCAGGATCCCACTGGCCCTCTTGGCCGTAAGGGCCCATTGCTGGCTCATGGAGAGTTTGCTATCCACTGGGACCCCCAGATCCTTCTCCTCAGTAGTGCTTTCCAGAAGATCCACTCCTAACCTCTATTGGTGCCTGGGGTTCTTCCTCTCCAGGTGCAGGACCTTACCATTTGTCCTTGTTGAACCTCATGAGGTTCTTCTCTGCCCAGCTCTCCAGCCTGTTCAGGTCACGCTGGATGGTGGCACAGCCCTCTGGAGTGTCGGCCAGCCCTCCCAGTTTGGTGTCATCAGAGAACTTGCTTCTTAATCACTGAGCCCCCAGCGATCCCTCTCCCGCTCACCCAGCCCCGTAGGTGATGAGCAAACAACCCTAAACAGCACCTGTCAAATGTCCTAAATGAGTATTTTTAAGATCACTCAGGAGCATCCAGGTGGGGCTTGAAGATCTCCAGAGAAGGGGACTCCACACCCTCCCTGGGCAGCCTCTGCCAGGGCTCTGCCACCCTCACCCCAAACAAGTTCTTCCTCAGATTTAAGTGGAACTTCTCCATGTTCCAGCTTGTGCCCGTTGCCCCTTGTCCTGTCACTGGAAACTACAGAAAAAAGTCCAGATCCATCATCCTTCAACCCACCCTTGAGATACTTGTCAGCATGAATAAGGTCTCCCCTCAGCCTTCTCTTCTCCAGGCTAAAGAGTCCCAGCTCTCTCAGCCTTTCCTCATCAGGGAGATGCTCCAATCCCTCCATCAGCTTTGTTGCCCTACGCTGGACTCTCTCCAGCAGTTCCCAGTCCCTCTTGAACTGGGGAGCCCAGCACTGGACACAGGATTCCAGCTGTAGCCTCCCCAGTACAGACCAGGGGGGGAGAATGACCTCCCTCCACCCACTTGCTATGCTTTTCCCTACGCAGCCCAGGATCCCATTGGCCTCTTGGCCGCAAGGGCCCATTGCTGGCTCATGGAGAGTTTGCTATCCACCAGGACCCCCAGATCCTTCTCCTCAGCAGTGCTTTCCAGAAGATCCACC